CCTAATGCCATACTTCTTCACATTTTCTCAGCTTCTAATTTAGGAGACTGCAATGTTAGCACCCCATTGGAGTTACCTGTAGTTTTTTTTTTTTTTTTTTGGTGTTTTTTTGTTATTGTTGATTTTTTTAAATGTCAATACTTACATTCCATTTTGAGATTATCAATTGATTGAGTTTTAGGGTGGGTCTGAGTCATCTGGGGTTTTTTTAATACTTTTTTATAGTTGTAGATGGACAGCATGCCTTTATTTGTTTAGGTTTTGTTTTGTTTTGTTTTTTTAATGTGGTGCTGAGGATCAAACCCATTGCCTCACACATGCTAGACAAGCGCTCTAACACTGAGCTACAGCCCCAGCCCCATCTCGGGTTTTTAAAAGCTCCTTGGGTGCATCGAGAAATTCAAAGCACTGCCACCTATGAATGTATGGTAAGTTTCCATCCACTGGTGAGAGGAGGGAGTCAGACTGCAGATGAGTGAACGTAAGTGCAAAGAGGGAAGGTAGTGGAATCTCATCCTAAAATATCCTGATCCCTTTGCTGCCCAACACGGAAGCATCTCATATCATTGGTCGTCCCCTTCTGGAAGGTAAACCAGAGTTGTTAGGTTATGCCCACTTCATAATATGGCTGTTACTCCTTAGCTTTTAATATCTAAAGAGTTAAAATATGACAACAGACTGGATCTAATGAAAGAGTGAAAACTCTTGGTAGAGTCCCAGGTTCTGTTTTGTGTGGAAGCTAGATAACATAGCTAGCACTTATCTCACAGAGCCTGTACAATGAGGAAGATAATGGCATTTGTCTTTCACATCCCAAATTCTAGCTAAAAGGACTCAAAATTATTCCATTGGTAAGTATAAGGAAGACAAGATTTCTCTATTAGCTACCATCACATTTCGTTGTGATAAGTTTCTTAGCTCTTGGGAATAGTTTAGGTTTTAAATGAATGACTTTATTTGTAGCAAAGTAAATGTTCTGCAGCCATTAGCACAGGGTAACAAGCCATACTCAGCTTCCACTATTTGTGGGGCAGGAAGCATGCCAAACTAGTTTGTTGGTACTTTCATTCTCCATAAACTCTAGAAACTCACTTTTATAGTGAATGGGGTGTTTTCAATATAGTGTCCATAAAGCAGGTGGCAAACATTGACTTTTCTAAGGAAATAATTACATGCAGGTGGCAAGTTGGAGGAGCCCTATTGTATATATAAGTGTATCCCAGAGAGTTCTTGTGATGTGTTTTCTAAGGACAAAGTTATACATATGATAAACAGTGACCTAGCAAAACAGAAATAGAACAGGTAGGGAATGAGAAAAGCTTATACTTCAATACATTTCAAAGTTATTTCTCAACTGTTTGAAGTTATTGACATACATGTGAAAACAAAAGTATTAAACACATCATTTAGTTATTTAACCAAAAGCTTTGTCTTTCACTGTATTGGAGGTTTAGTATACAGAAGTGAATACCATGTGGATCGTGTGCTTAGGAGTATACAATCTAAGGAAGAAAATAATCATAAAACTCAATCATCAAACACCATGATATGGATGAACTTGCCCATGAAATACATATTGTGAAATTATCATTTAGGATGCTTTAGATTACATCAGAGAGACTCCTTTATTTAACAGTTGGAAATAAATACCTCATAAGACATAAGAATAGAAATAGGAGGCCCTCAGAACAATTGGCTTGTGTTTACATTGAGAATTCTGAACAGTATAACTGGTTTCTCTTTTTTTTGTTTGTTTTGATTAGTTACACATGAAAGTACAATGACCTTGACATATCATACATTTGAATCAGATGGGATATAATTTCTCATTTTTCTGAGTGTACAGGTTGCAGAATTACATTGGTCATGCAGTCACGTATATACCCACAGCAATAATATTGTCTGTTTTATTCTGCTGCCCTTTCATTCCCCACTACCCTTCCCCTCCCCTCCCATCTCTTCTCTCTACCCAATCTAATATAACCCACTTCTCAATGACATAACTCTAGTAAACAAATAGGACTCTCTATTACCAATTTTGTCTATGACCTTCCACCAAGATCCAAGCAACTTTATCCCAATTTTGTTTACTTGTTGCCATTGTTCTTAAAACATTCCTTAAATCCTCTTCATGATGAAAGATATAAGAAAATAATGAAATAAATTGCAATGAGAGAGGACTATCAAGGTTTTATGAGCACCCTGGGGAAGAGCATCACACAGACTGGGAATGTCGCTGGAGAAGTTAGGGAAGGAGTTAGGAATAAATAGGAAAGGTATCACAATAAGAATGACAATAACATCATTGGCACTGTGTGTGAGGCAACTTTCCATTACTATAACAAAATACCAGATATAGTCAAAAGACAATTTCTTTTGTCTCAGAGTTTCTCAAGTTTCAGTTCATGACTAATTGGCCCCATTGCTTTGAGCCTTTGGTAGCATAATACAAGTAGAGATCAAGGCAGAGTTCTCACCTCACAGCTGAGAACTGAAAGACCTAGAGAGAAAGAAAAATGGACCATCCATCGCCCCACAGTCTCCTTCAAGGGAATGCCCAAAATGATCTAAAACTTTCCGCGAAGCCCCACCTCTTAAATCTTCCACCGCTTTCCAAGAGCACCAAGTCAAGAACCAAGCCTTCAACACATGGTTTGCTGGGGCATAGCCAAGGACCAAACCATAGGAAGGATATCAATGCTTCTCATGTTTAAAAATTTTCCCAAGATGCCACTCTTAGCCCCATCATCTTGCTTCAAGTGCTGCACCATGGATATTCTGAATCTCACGTGCAGGAGTTTCGATCAGGTTTGAAACCTTTATCTAAGGTTTGAAAGGTGAGAGTCTTTTAGGCTATTGCCTGCTGGAGTAGCTCTAAGTACGTCTAAAACAAAGGGCAGCTGGGCGAGGCAGCCCACGGTGAAGCTAGTCAATACGTAAGGCTGAGGGAGGGATGGCTCGTTTCTGGGCAGCAAGACGATTATACAGGACTTTACTGAGGAAGTTACCTGATCCTGGAGAGAAACAAAGAGAGGCTTCAGACTCTGGCGATTCTGAAGCCGAGTGGTGTCTGTGTAGTGAGGAGGCTATGAAAGTACATGCCCTGGCCCACTGTACACCACAGCCCTGGGGTCTCCTTGGTGCACAAGAGCAGGGCAGTAGTGTGTTACTCCCAGTGGGAAGTCATTTTTTCCTAGATAGGTCTACCCTGAACCCCATATCGGTGAGTCTGATTAACAAAAAGCATTGTTATAAGCACCCCTTTCCTAAACCACACCAGAGGCAATTAGAGCAAGGTCCCAGTGCTTTTAAGGTCCCTCAATAAAGCCTTTCTTGATGGCAGTGATGGTGGTGATTAAAATGCTGCTAGTGGTGATTAGGATGATGACAATGGTGGTAACAGCTGCCACTAATTATTGAGCATGTCCACTCTCAAACCCCTGTGCTAACATTCATTAGTGTACTTAACCCTCACAACCACCCCCAGAGGAAGACAATAGTATGCCCATATTACAGATTAAGTCACCAAGACTCGGTTTTAATAACCTTCCCAATGTCACACAGGTAATTAAGTGGTAAAGCTGGGATGTGGATACAGGACTGATTGAGTACCCAGACTATGTGACAGGCAGCTCTCCTGCCTGCCTCCCACAAAGAATTATGTATTGCAGTCACATTGTATTTCTGGCAACCGCTTTTCCATCTTACCAGATACTATCAGAGTTGTAATAATAGAAAATTGATTGTTGAGGTTTGGCTTCTTACATCTCTCCTTTTCGATGTATGCTTTTAGAAGACACGATGAATGGTTTGTTAGATTTGTTAGATGTGCCTGCGTGTGCACGTGTAGGTGACATGTGTGCACTTGCCAATGTGAAGTCAGACACTGAAATGAGAAAGTATATAGAAAAGAGACCCTCTGTAGAAATCGACATGTTGGCCAAATCCCGGAATTTTCACTCATGAGGCATGTAATTGAGAATGTCATTCAACCTCTCTCGTGTATCAGTCACGTTGCCTTTAAAATGGGAATAATTCAAATTCAAGTTCATGGTGTGCTGCAGAAATGTTATATATAGTAACTATCACAGAGTTAAAGGCTTAGGAATTGCCAGTTCCTATGCTAACTCCTCTGGCCTCATCATGCTTTTATAGTTTAATCCTGTTTGTGCAAAGAACCCAAATCAATGTCCAGGCCAGCCCTCTCCTGGGACATGTGTATCCCAGAGAAAGAGCATCATGGCCACCAGTGCTAGACAGGGTTGCCATCGGTTTCTACTCTGCACCCAGATAAAATTTAAACAGCTAGTTATATAGCAATACATTGTTTTCTGATATAAGCCCTCGGTAGCTGAGCCACAGTGGCTTCCGACCACTCTATGTCTCTTGTCTTCAAGTCTGCCATCTCACCATGTAGAATGAGAACACTCTACTTCTGATTGATTTCAGCATCAGTCTCCTTACAGCTATTCTCTAACTTTCATGAGTATCCTTGGGAATTTCTCCTTTTTATAGTTAGCCCTTCAAGCCAGGTCTAACTATAAAAAGTGTGGATTTGAGTTGCTGTACTATCAGTGAACTTATCTCACCTTTATCCAGTAAAGTATAGGGGACTTTACAAGGCTTAGAGGATATTCTTTTCTTCAACACTATTCAGTATAAACTTAATTGGTTAGCCATTTTTTTTTAATGCATGAAGCTCATCTCAAACTAACAGAGTAGACCAGAAAGCCAGTGCACATTCTGGGGCCTTTGGCTGAACCAAGCAAAACATAAATACGATAACAATAGAGCCATTGAAAACTCTGCACTCCTCACAGAAATGTGCATTGTGCACAAGCCAGCTCCATCGGAAGCCCGACTGCGTGCTGGGTGACGCCCTTGACTGTGATCAGATAAGTTGTCCCTTAATCACCTGCTCTCTGTAGTTGGCCACATATGTATGTTCTCTTAAATGACTTTGCCCCACTGTTATCCTAATTTGAAATTTTCTTTTTTAGCCACATAAATAGAAGAACACAGTTTGAAAATCCTGTCCTGGAAGCAAAAAGGAAGCTACAGCAGCATAACATGCCCCACACAGAACTTGGAACGAAGCCCCTGCAGGCCCCAGGTTTCCGAGGTACTGTACCATGTCAGCATGCGGTGTAGCAAAGAAAAGTGGTCTGACAAACTGTCGGCACTTGCAGATTTGCCTGTAGCTTGGGTCATTGCGAATAATTGATTTGCTTTCCTCAGACCCTTCTATTAGCTTTAGCTGGGTGTTTGCATTATTTCTAAACTAATGCATTTAACAACCACTGATTAAGTTAAAGCCTCAGGCAGTACCTTATAGGAAGTTACAGCGTGTTGCCAGGTGGAGATTAATGGGTTTTGACAGTGCTTCTATAAACTGCAGAGATTCATAGAGACTCAAGTTTGTCTTCTGAAGACTAAGCATAAGAATGAGGCTTGTTCTCCTTTGTGACAGTAGCCAGCTCCTCATCGACATTACCTAGGCCCAAATCCATGTGCCCTCGCACTGCCCCGGAGAGGTCGCGCAGCGTGAATGACTTGTCTTACTATCGCCGCGACCACGCAGGGAGACCATGGTCCTTCGGTATGTCCCAGGGCAGCTTGCAGAACTGACTGTACCTGAGAGCCACGTAGTGGGATGAGTGACTGCACAAATGTTCACGTCTTGTGGGCTTCTATTCATTTAAAAAAAAAAAAAAAAATCATGCTTTGGAGTCAGGAGCCTAGACTTGCCTGCTGCTGAGTTTCACACTGAGCACTGCAGCACAGTGAAATGAATGTAAAGGTCCTCTCTGGAGCATCTCTCGACTTGTAAGCATTGCTAAAGTGAACATAGGTGAGAAGATTGTATATGGATTTTTTTTCATTTATGTTTTAAAGAAACTCTGTTTTCAATAAAGATATACCGATAGGTATGTGAACAGAGATAAAATAAACTCCAATATAATGACTCACTGTTTTACAATTTGTTTATTATATATCACCCAAAATGTAGCAACAGAAGTATCATACAAAATAGTTATCAAATCACATCATCCAAATGCAACTAAAAAGAGTGTCATAAAATACATAGGCGAGGTTTAAAGGAGATGCTAATTCTGTCTCTTATTATGACTGTTATTTTCAAAGCATTTAATATGCTTAGAAACATATTTACTACAGGTCACAGATCGTAGCCAGAAAAGCCTATCATATAACAAATTAGTGGACAAACTAAATGAGGGGGCTCAAGTTCTACTCAGATTATTTAGGCCCATGATTTGGATGTGTGGACATATTGTTACAAAATGTGTTACCTTTACATTCATAATTCTATCTAGAAGTATCAGCTCAGCTTGCTTTTTTCTCACATTTCAGAGTATACTAAACACATTTGGGTCACCATAAATTTACTTACCTGATTATCTTTATAGCATTTCACAGTATAGGGGTGTAAGCAGAAATGAATTCAGTCCCACATCCAGGTATTCTCTCTAAACAATTTGGACCTTTCAATATGTGGTCGTAGTCTATTGCTTCTCTAACTATGATATCTGTACCGGCTTAAATGCTGTGCTATTATTCTCTAAAATAACCACAAAGTCCATTGTGGTTTTCTACCTCTATCTCTTCAAGGTTCTGTGCAGGACCCGCCATTCACATATACCTCCTACCTGGGTTCTTTCATAACTATAAGAGGAACATATCCAGATGTGTCTGGATGATTTGGGCTCTTTATCCTCTATCTGAAGGCTCTGGCAGCCTGATGATAGAGCCCTTTTAAAGTACAAGAAAGCTAACTAATGAATAGAAATGCTGACTTGACAAAAAGTCTCTCAAAAACCAAACAGCCTTTGTATTTTCCCTGGATGCTTGGGACTGCACTACATTTGTAGAAAGTTCTAGCAGTCTTGCTCCTCTTGCAGCCACCACCTGTTTGCATTACTGCGTAAGACCCTCACTCACCTCCACCCCTGGGATTGCTGCTCGTTGGCTGGTTTTCTGTTGTCCAAGAACTTTCCTTAAACATGCTTTTTCTTTTTTAACTTATATTGGCCAATGTAGAAAAACCACTCTTCACCCGGGATGCATCCCAGTTGAAGGGAACATTCCTCAGCACCACCCTAAAAAAGAGCAACATGGGTTTTGGATTTACCATCATTGGTGGAGATGAGCCTGATGAGTTTCTGCAGGTGAAAAGTGTGATTCCGGATGGGCCTGCAGCACAGGATGGAAAGATGGAAACAGGTAAGTTCCTTAGTGCTTGAGAAAATAGTTCTGCAATATCATTTTTTTTCTGGAGGCAATTATATGGTGCTACTTTTGTGTGTTTAATTCAAAAGTTCTCCTTTAGGAAAACCTAAGTTTTCTTTTTCCTAAACTTAATATTATCAAGTGGAAGTATTTTGGAAACAACTTTGAATATCATTTTTGTCTTATTTTTCACACTGTCACTTCTGTTTGTTGGATTCAATGGACTCTTGAGATTGACACTTTCCTAATTCATCTCCAGAACTCCTTCTTTGGGATGTGATTAACATTTCACACTTTTCTAACTTAAGTTCAGCCACCTATACTTTTAAATCTATATTAATCTTGTAATATTCTTGTGCTAAATTGCCCAGGTTAGATATTTAAATATGCATGCCCATCTCATAGGGGAAAAAATTTAAATGGCATTAGTCTTTACAGGTACCCATACAATTTTCTAATATGTGGGATTTTTTCCTAGTTCTTACAAATTAATTTTCATATACAATTACTTAGATGTCTATCTATCTCTAAATTATAACTGAAATTAATTTCACATGGAAATATAGAAGCAAATTGTTAAGGAAAGAAAAATGTAAAGTATAGAAAAGTGCACAGAGTAGAGGAAAAAGTAATGAACTAAGTCTGATTTCACAGTCTGATTTTAAATTCTCCTACCTGGCCCATGACTTTGAATGAGTTCCATAACTTATAAATATTAATTTCTTTATCTAGAAAAAATGAAGAAATTAAATTTGATCTTGTGCATTTAAAATGCCAGTTCAAGAGTTTTATAGTGTAACTTTGTAAGCCTTAGAATATTATACAGTAATTATATCTCCAAAGATATATAATCCATCACCATTTTTGCATTTTTCCACAATGTTGATTTAATTTTTGATATCACCTTCTAAAGTATGTGGCTCCTATTACATATAAAAATTAGAGATTCGCTTTGGGTGTATAGATGACTTTATTGTGACCTTTATGAGTCGTTCCTCTGTGAGCTTCAAAGGGGTTTGTGTATGGAGAAATATAAAATTGAGGTCATCTGACACTTTTTATTTTAAAAATTATCAATGCTATCTTATCATTTATTAGTTTCTCCATAAATAACTTTTTTTCAAGATGCCCTTGTGAATGTATTTGACACTGCTGCTTACTAGTGAGTAATAATGTATATTTAAGGAAATGGTTCATCTCCTTAAAAGTTGAAATGAAGTTTCAAAACTAACTTACCTTTCGAAAACAACTACTATTGTAAAAATCACATACACGTAATTTTCTGTAAGAGTGAGTTAGAAAGTGTTCAATTTCCCTATTCATCTGGTGATATTTTATCCACACTGTCTGTCTGCCAAAAAAATAAAAAACATCAAAAACATCAAATAATTTAATTTAAAAAATTTATTGCCTACAATTAGATAAAAGTAAAGTCTGGGATTAATACTACTTTAGCAGAAGGGAAAGGATCCCCAGGGCTTTTGAACTTCAGCGAAATATTTTACAAATACATTTCTTTTCATAGTAAAGAACCTAATTATTTTTCTCTGATAGAACTCATTATTCCATTTTTCAAACTAGAAGGGCTTCTTTTTCAGTGTAAACTTCAAAGACAAACTAAAATAAAAATATTTTCACAGCAAATCTTTTTCCTTTCTAACTCATTTTAGTAGTTTGCCACACCCACACAGTCTAACTTAGCTTTATTCAACAACGAAGTCAAAGATTTACTTAGAATTTCACCTGTTTTCTCACTGAGAAAAAAAAAATCACAAAGCAGTTTCTAATGGAAAGAGAATAACCCAGGATTTAAGTCTATGCACTCTCTCCTCTTTGGTCTTCTGCCGATGCATTTAACAAATGCTTGCCAAGCAGCTCCCCTTTCATAGTCATTGCAGTGCACATGCCTGCAAAGGCAAAAGTGACATGGATCTGACTCTCGAGGAGTTTACATCTGGTGGGTTGGGGAGACTATCAGACACATGAGCAAGAAATTGTGACACGTAATGGGTCTATAGTGCCCATTCTGTTGGCACAAAGTCAGGAGTCAGGGAGCAAGCATCAAAAAGTTTTAAAAAGAAAAGTGTGTTGCTTACTCTACAATTGTGTGAGGCTTTTATAGTGATGGCAATTCCCTCATTGGACAAGAATTAATAAAACAAAATGTAATTCTTCCTAAATATTGCAAAATGTTTAACTTTTACTTTGAATAGGGAGATTATTTAAAAACAAATGTCAACACATTTCTGTGACATTCCACAAGTTATAATAGAGAGCATGGCTCTGCAGTTCAACAAATATTTAGTGACTGTCTGTATAAGCCAGACGTTCTGTTAATTAATAGGGATGCAAAACCAGAGAGACAACTGTTTCTGTCTTCAAGAAGTTTACAGTGTAGAAATAATGAGTGATCTCTTAATGAATATTTATATCAATGCAACAATAAAAATAAGTACTTAGGGACAGAAATAGAACAGAGAAAAGGAGGGACGGCTTTATGGGGAGATGCTTAGGGAAATCCTCATAGAGAAGATGATGTCTGACAGTTCTGCATGATGAATAGACATTTGCTGGGTAGACAAGTGAAGAAGGCTGTTCAAAGAGGTGACAGCATGTGTAGAAGCATAGTGGCGGGAAGACCTAGGAAAAGGTTTATATGCCATCACAGTGCATATTAATGGGTCATCTTCAACACGTCTTTATGGTGATGTAGCCAGTCAAATAATAACCACAAGGGGTAAAGGTTAACTATTTAGACTTGCAACAATAATAAAAAATGATAAATTGGAAGGGAAGCAGAATAGACAATATGATTGATGTATGTACATTCTATGTATGTATTATATGTGAAAATACATTCTGCTGTCATGTATGACTAATAAAATAAAAATAAATCATATGGAAAAAAAGAAAAAAACCGATAAATTCTTATAGCCTCAAATAAAAATATAAATGCACATATACCTATATCTAAAGCCATTATCATATATTTTCAATGAGGAATTAGGCATAAAGCTTTACTCTAAGACTGCTGTTTTGTTTACATGTATCTCTAGAAAGAAAATAGCACTTGGCAAATAGCAGGTGCTCAGTGAGTACTTAGATGGATGGATGCTCTTTATAAATGAAGAAGTGAAAATTGAATGGGCTGAAATTGAAAGTCCTCTTTTTTCTTTTTTGGTACTGGGGATTGAACTCAGGGGTACTTAACTTGACATCCTCTTTTAACAGTCTATTTTTTGGTACTTAGTTGAGGTAGTCAGCATTGGAGCAAAAACCAAATCTGCTTTCCAGTTTGGGGATGAAATTTAAGAGAAAATATACGCTAAGGACAAAATCATGTTTCTTTTTTGTAGAGACTTCATATAAAAAATAAACTTCAAGAATTACCAAAATAAGAGACACTACAGATAGATAAAAAGATAAATCATTGAATCATTGATATTTAAAATCTGAGCAGTCTCATTTGACATTGAAACATGCATAAAAATATTTCAGTTAACTTTCCTAGCTTTAGGCGGTCTTTAATTTAGATGTCAATAGTTTGTTGGGACACAAAGAAAAAAATCTCCTGTGCTGAAAAGTTCACCTAGGATCCTGCATAGGAGAAATAAGGAGGACTAGGGAATTTTCTCTTTCTTAGTCAGCCCTGACTCTTGGGAAAGAGTAGAGGACAGGAGAAAGAAGGGCAGTATGCTTCTGGCTGCTTTTTGACAACTAATTGAGCTGATTCCCACTGGTACTACAATATTCCAGAAGAAGGTTGCTCAGATGAAATTAACATGAAGCCCAGAAACCATCTAACTTCTGATTTTTAAGTATTCTACACATTCAAGTGATCAGGCACCAGAGACCTGTTAACATTCTTTAAAGTATTTTAAAAATCAAGTTTGATTTAACTTGACTTGCATAGAAGCCAGGGTCTAAAAGATATTTATATAACATCCTTCAGCTGAAAAGCATTCCTTGCTACATGATGTTTCCTGTTTTACCCCAGGCTAAGTTCTGAATCAAGGTTTGTGGTTGTCAACACATGTAGAAAGGAAAGCTGACCTATCCGTGACGTTCTCCCAGAGAAGGGGGTGGAATTGCAAAGTCACTCACAATCTGTTAGTTTTTATTTGCCCTTTAAAAATATTTACCCGTTTTATTAATAAGATCACAGCAAGCATTCTTAAAGTTAAACAGGGTGGCATTCTTGAGCCTCTGGCATTTCTTCATTTGAGCAGATCTCTGTTGCTGCTCTTGTGCTAATTGCTACTTCAATGTCTTTGTAAATGTCAGGGTCCAAGTCCAACTTTGTCAGAACCAATTGGGAGGTTTTTAAAAATGCAAATTCCTATGCCTCCAGACCTGCAGGTTCCAAATATCGGGGACTGGTGCTTGGGAATGTGCACTTATATACTTTTAAAAATTGTCAAAGCTAGGCACACACATGGTTAAAAAAATAGCATCAAAATATTTGTGCTACATAAAATATTGCCTGCCCTGTCCCGCCCCTTCCCACCCTCCAGGCCCCTATCCCAGATGCAATCAGTTTGTGCTCTAGTCGATGTTTCTTTTGGTGGCTACCTTCACTCTTCTAATTAGTGCACTTACATACTGTTGTCTTAACAATTTAGAGATGACCTGTATTTATTTCTTTTTACAAAAAATAGAGTTTTAGTTTCTATATACCCTATCTTCCCTCCCACATCCTCTCAATGAGAGTTTTGCACCTAATTTGATAAAGTTTATATAGTTTTTGCATTATTATGACTTTGTACATTTGTTCCTCATGCCCACTAATGTACCATAAATACATAGCTTCCCTTAAACACCATTTGACTTTCACGTTGTCTTTTTAATTGTTTTACTGCTTTACCTTTCTTAAAATGACCCTAAGTTTTTCTCCCGAAAGTACCATCATATTGAGTGTTGTAGAGGGTCTCCTTTCTTAATGGGCAATCCCCGCACCATGTGGGCTGGTTGTACAGCTGACACTTGGAAATTTG